CGTGGATCTCTACGGGGCCAGGGATTTGGGATTCGGGCGGCAGCTCCCCAGGGACAGCTGTTGGGACCTGATTTACACGGCTGACGTTTTAACCCGCTCCAGTTTGCCCTCAAAAGGAGCTGGAAATAATTCTTGGTATTAATTGCAGCTCGTTCCGTCGCTAACGAGGTTACAGTAAATACGTGAGTGCTTCCAACCCGCCTGGCTGCATCCATCTTCCATGCTACGCGTCCCACCGGGGGGGGACGACCGCCTGACACGTCTTTTAGGGTTATAAATATTCGTTATAAAATCAGAATACAAAGATATCAGCAAAAAGCGAGATGGAAGGAAGAAGAAATATAATTTTTGTTTTATAAATAGGTGCGGCCAAACAGCTTTAGCATTATTTTTTTTCCCTTAACGCACCACATTGACTGCTCCAGTGGGGGCTGAAAATGAGGGAAAACACCTGGAAAAGAGTCTAAATATCGGAAAATACCGCCGGGGCCCGTACCTTTTGAAAGCATCGCCGAAGGGAACGGCCAGCCAGCGTTTCGGCATGCTCCTGAGGAACGCGCTCTGCTGCTCCTCCGTCTCGTCCCGCGACACGTAGACCAGCACCAGCTGCGACGCTCGTTCCACGTAAAACTCATCGGTCAACCGGACGAAGAAATCTTTGAGGATGGGGGAGAATTCCCGGCACCGCGGGCACTGCCCGGACCCGAAGTAGAGCAGCAACACCTTATTCTCCAGCGCCCGGCCCAACTCCCGCTCCGTCTCCACCTCATCCCGCTCCCGGTTGCCCGTCAGGACCTTCCCGGTGAAGAGGGCGGCCATGGGCGGACGGTACCGACCCACCCGGTGGCTCACGGTGAGTGCTCGGTGGTGGGAGGGATTCTCCTAGTACAAAGCCATCTAAAAAACAGAGACCGCACAAAACCTAGCTACTAAAATGAAGATTTGGTAAAAAAAAAAACCCAAAATAATAATACCTATGTTTTCAAAAAAAAAAAAAATCACTTTACAGGTCAAGGCTTCCACTGCCTAAGTGAGTTTAGTAAAATGAGAACTCAAAAACATGTGCTATGAAATTCACAGATACAGTTATGTTTTGTTTTGTGTTTTTTTTTTTTTTTTAAAAAAAAAACAACCAAACAACAACAAAATACATCAGGTCTTTTACGCATCTGTTTCCCCATCCAGAGTTTACTCCGCATTCTCATCCTCTTGTGCTGCAGCAGCTTCCTCGCTTTCTTCCTCTTCCTCGTGTTCTACCGCCACACCTTCTACTGGTTGTCGCTCTTCTTCCTCGGGGAGAGATTCCTCCGCAGGGGGGGAATTCTGCTCCTTCGCGTTTTCTGCATCCGGCTCCACCTCCGTTTGTGCTTGTGGCTGTGCCTCCATTTCTGTCTCTGTCCCTCTTGCTTCTTGCTCTCCCTCTTTCTCAGCTCTTTCTGGGTTCTCTTCAGGCTCCTTGTTTTCCTCATCTACGTTTTCCTCCTCTGGATTTTCTTCTTCGGGATTTTCTTCTTCCAGATTTTCCTCCTCCGGATTTTCTTCTTCGGCATTTTCCTCCTCATCCTTGTTTTCATCTGCTCCTTCTGCTGTTCCTTCCTCTACGTTTCCACTGGCTCCTCCTTCTCCTTCTTCATGCTCCTCTTTTTCTTCTGGGTCATCCGTGAAAGGATTCTCACCCTGCAAAGAGAAAGACAAACATTCGTCTGCTGCGAGTTTCTCTCGAGCTGCTTTGAGGAATTCACGCCGGCAACACGCCAGCAAACCCTCCCAAGAAGTTGAGCGTAACGGTTGCCCCAAAAGCAGATGCTGCCTCGAGAATTCAAAAATCGATGCTAATATTAGCAGCGACAGCGCAACAGTCACGTCTCCGGCCAAAATTGAAGCTGGAGACCTCGCTCATCCTGTTCGCTCAGGGTTCGATGTAACATGTGGGGCAGGAGATGACAGGAGAAGTCATCGGCATCGATAAGCAAGTTTACCGATGACACCGAGCTGCGCGGAGCAGTGACACGCTGGAAGGAAGGGATGGCATCCAAAGGGACCCGGACAGGCTGGAGAGGTGGGCCCGTGTGAACCTCAGGAAGTTCAAGGCCAAGTGCAGGGTCCTGCACGTGGGTCGGGGCAATCCCCAGCCCAAATCCAGGCTGGAGGATGAAGGGATGGAGAGCAGCTCTGGGGAGAAGGACTCGGGGGTGTCGGTGGGGGAGAAGCCGGCCGTGAGCCGGCAACGTGCACTCACAGCCCAGCGAGCCACCGGCAACCCGGGCTGCGTCCCCGGCAGCGTGGCCAGCAGGGCGAGGGGGGACTGTGCCCCTCTGCTGCGCTCTGCTCTGCTCTGGGGAGACCCCCCTGCAGTGCTGCCTCCAGCTCGGGGGGTCCCACCAGCAGAAGGAGACGGAGCTGGTGGAGCGGGGCCAGAGGAGGGCACGGAGATGCTGGGAGGGCTGGAGCCCCTCTGCTGGGAGAGTTGGGGGGTTCAGAGAAGAGAAGGCGAAAAAGGGGAGAGCTCAGAGCCCCTTCCAGTGCCCGAAGGGGCTCCGGGAGAGCCGGGGAGGGACTCTGGATCGGGGAGGGGAGCCGTGGGACCAGGGGCAGAGGGCAGATTTAGGGGAGATCTCGGGAGAAATTCTTCCCCGTGAGGGCGGTGAGCCCCTGGGGCAGGTTGCCCCGAGAAGCTGTGGCTGCCCCATCCCTGGAGGTGTTCAAGGCCAGGTTGGACGGGGCTTGGGGCAACCTGGGCTGGGGGGAGGTGGCCCTGCCCGGGGCAGGGGGTGGCACTGGGGGGGCTTTAAGGTTCCTTCCAACCCGAACCATTCTATGATTCTGTAATAAACTTTTCCTTGTGAGGGTGGTGAGACACGGGCCCAGGTTGCCCAGAGAGGTGGGAGATGCCCCATCCCTGGGAATGTTCCAGGTCAGGTTGGACGGGGCGCTGAGCAACCTGGTCTAGTTGAAAATGTCCCTGCTTGTGTCGGGGATTGCACTTGATGCCCTTTAAAGGTCCCTTCCAACCCAAACCATCCCATGACTCTGTAATTCTAAGGGTGTGGGGGGGCTGGTGGCAAGCTGGGTTGGCTGTCTTTAAACCTGAGTCACGACAGGTTTTAACCATTTTAACTTGCTGGTCTGCCTACATGCAAACAGCAGTTGGAAGGGCTCAGCCTCGAAGGGAGCGAACGAACGGACAGACACTCGTGGGATGAACGCCACAGTTCACCCGTGGAAGAGGAGTCACGGGGCGATGCCTGCCTGAGCTTAAAGAAAGGATCGATCCGTCTTAAAATGTGTAGTCCGAACTAAGGGCTTGCGGTGTAAACAGCAGGGAGTCTCCTGCAGCTTCCCCATCTCCTGGGAGTCCCTCACCATCACATTTAGTTCAGCGGATTTTAGGCCGCCGTGAGGATGTGTCTTTATTCCAAAGGATTTAGGGCTCCTGCGATTGCCAGCTTCGCTGTGGCTGTCACTCTGCTTTGAAGAGCTGTTTCCTCCCGATTGCCCGGCAAGCTGGGAATAATGACAGAAAATAAACCGGGCAGAATAAAGCCCTTTAAGTATCTGGAAAGTGTGGCTCAGCAGTGAAAAGGCTCCTGTGTTCTGTGTTTGGCACAGTGCGGTGTAAGGTCACCGTGAAAGCCCCGCTCAGTCTGACCACTGCCAACAACTTGTTTCTGAAGCGCACCCTTCCCCCTTCTGCCGGGCTGTGCTGAGCGAGGCTCCCGCTCTTGACATTCAGTCGTGAGAGTTGTGGGGCTTTTTTTAAGTGCTAATATTAAATGACCTTTCAAGTTTCTGGGGCTTCTTCCAAACCCTTGTTGCACAACAATTTCCTATTTTAATGGTGCAAAAATACCGCCTCTATCTTCCTACCTCCGGGAAGGAAACAGGATCTGTTACATGCACCCGGACCTGCTGTCCTCATTTTGGTGGCGGTGTTATGGTAGCGTACTCTAATAAATTTATTTTTGTATCTCGGTTACAACCGAGAGCCGAAGCCAGAGAGCCAACGTGCCCCTCAAGATAGTTTCCTCCAGGACATCAGTGAGATGATTGAAGTTCAGACAACAACTTTCACTGCCAGCTTGAAGCATGTTGTGTTTTAACTTGCAGCTGCTGCCTTGGAGACTTAAAATAATTATGTAAATTACTGAAGAGGAAAAAAAAAAAAAAGTCTCGTTAGAACACTCTGGTTTGTTCTTTTATTGAGCAGTTGCTCTTTATGGTATCAGATATCCACAGAGTTAGTAATTCTTTCCTTGATAAGGCACCACAGTCTTTAAAGGAGCCTGCCATTTATTAATTTTTATTAAAATCTATGATTTCTGCCTGGTAGTATTTAAATAGCCGCACTTCCTATCGTCTCAGGACTGTGGCAGAGACTGACTCACAGGAAAACGTGCCTGTGAGCAACAAGTCGGCAGCCCTCTCCTCTCGTGGGTGAAAGGGGAAGCCTCTGGCTTTGTTTTCTTGGAGTTGAGGCCACGGGTTGTTATCAAAGGGTTGTGTGGTCTTTGTTTAAGTGCTTTTGGATCTTGAATGGTAACAAATGGTGCAAAGACGCTGCAAAATCTCCTGGCAAGAAAGACTCTTCCCATGTGAAGTGTGTTTGCTCCCGTTCCAGCTAAAAGCAATGGTTGCCGAGCCTTTTTTTTTATTTTTTAAGGGTGGAGGAAGACATCGTTAAAAGATGTAATTTATTCTCTTTAATGTTTTCTGTGGGCTTGTTTGAATCGGTATCAACGTGAAGATGGATTCCCTGTGTTTTATAGTGTGGAGAGTACCGCAGCAGTTGCTGTATACTGTTTATTTACTGTAATGTTAAAATAGCTGTCACTTGCCGTAGAGCAGCAGTGATTTCAGGGTAACGCTTCAGCTGTCCCAAGAGTGGGAGGACACCAGTGAGACGCCCATGTGCAGCACATGCATCCTGCCCACTTCCCTTCTAATTCGCAAATTGTGCTGAAAATTAAATGGTTCTGCTTTTTCTTTGCTGCAGTGGCCTCTCGGTGCTGTTACGAGTCAAGTACAAGTTGCGAAAGCATCAAAAAGCCAAAAGCACCATCCCCAAGATGTTCCAGGATGTTGTCCGCAGGCATCCCGACAAAGTGGCCCTGATTTACGAGGCCACTGGTGAGCAGTGGACCTTCAGGAAGCTGGATGAGTACTCCAACGCCGTGGCTAACTACTTCTACCAGCAAGGCTTCCGCCTGGGGGACGTCATTGCCATCTTCATGGAGAGCCGCCCCGAGTTCGTTGGCCTCTGGCTAGGGATGGCAAAAATCGGCATCGAGGCGGCTCTAATCAACTTCAATTTGCGCTTGGATTCTCTGGTTTACTGCGTGACGACTTCGGGTGCGAAAGCCGTGATCTTCGGAGGGGAGCTGTCTTCAGGTGAGTCGCTTGGGTGTTGGTATGCCTTATGGGCGACGCGTGAACAGTTCGCTTGGTCCTGAATGAGGCAGAGATTGAAAAAATTGAAAACAAAAAAGGCAGCTGGATGTATTAAAAGCTAGGGAAGATGGTAAATCTCCTGATTACAGAAGGCAGAAGCATTCGGTTAGTACCTGAGGCTAAAAGAGAAGTGGTGTTTTGAGTCTGCTCTGAGTCAGGAGCTTGGTTTCACCTGCTGGCGTCTTCCTGGTTTCGGGGTGCCCAAACTGAGCTCGCTGATTTGCTCTTTTTTTCATCGGATCTGGAAGAGCTGTGTCAGGAGCTTTGTGCTTCATCGAGAAGTGGCAATATATGTCGCAAGGCGTATTTTTCCCTTTTACCCTGTTAATACTCTTTGCTTAATGCTGCTCTTTCTACCGCAGGATAGGTCTGTCAGTGGATGCTAGTTTTAAATACATCCCTGCTTTTCCGATGAACCCTGTTCCGATGGTTATTGTTAGATCCGGCGGTTTATTATTGTAAATCATCTCCTTCAAACCATTCTAGATCGTTTGAAGATCATAATGTGGTCGTGGGGAGAGGCAATTTCACGTAGTTTTTTTGTTAGGGTTTTTACTGAGCCCGGCTCAGTCTGACCACACTGATGTGGATGTCATCTGGATGGGTGCGACGTAAGTATCTTAAAGGTTCTTCAGGTCCCTCTGTGGTTTTGGGGGACAACAGGACATTATACAGATAGTTGTTGCCACTGCTTGGAGCGTTATGTTTGTTGCAAAAGCGACTTGCTTTGTCTTGCAGCAATATCTGAAGTGAATGGGATGTTGGGGAAGAACATGGCAAAATTCTGCTCTGGTGACTATAACCCGGGTGTGGTTCCTGTGGAGACCAAACATCTTGATCCCCTTCTGAGTACCGCCTCGAAATCGCCCCCGACTCAGATTCCACTCAAAGGTTTAGATGGTAATTTTATCAAGGATTTTAGTTTCTCAATGCGACGTGTGGAGAACTGAACTAGGTGACAACAAAACAAGAAAAAGAAGCAAGGTGGAGGGATTAAATCAACCCGGTTTGGGCTTGCAGATAGAAGAAAGGAGGAGAAAAAAAAAAAACCACAGAGGGAGGGGAAAAAAACAAGGTCCTGGTTCCAGGGTACTCTGGGTTAAGTTTTACTCATTGTCTGAGACTGCAAAGCTTTAGGCACCTCAAGTGTTCAGTACCCGCAGGAGGAGATTGGTGCCTTCCCCAAGACAGCCCTTCCCGCAGAGAACAGCCGCTGGAATGTGTGTGGGGTGAATCCATCCGACTTGTCTGTAGCATGTAACAGCCCATGTTACCTTCCCCCACAGCGGACTCCTGTGTAATTAAAACGTTTCCGTGTAATATGGCTGTGGGGAAGATGAGTATTGGTGGGTTTGGGATTGAGGAAGGGAAAGGAAGGTGCTAGCTGGTCGCCAGTCTGTATTTCATACTTTAAGACAATCAAGAGTATCTGAGATCGCTCAGGCACGAGGCTTCGTTTTGGTACTTTGTTTAATGATGCCGCTAAGAAGCTTTTCCTTTAGATTATTTTTTGTAATCGTAGTCTTAGATACCTGCCCTACCATCAGAAGCAGGTCGAGACCTTTCCTCTAGATTGGTTGAACTTACTGTCTGACCTGGAGAGCTGATCTAGTCCCAGCATAATTTGCATAAAGGGATACGGGTCGTGTTCTCAGAGCTCTGCGAGCTCTTCGTTACGCTCTCCTGTCTCTGCTGTTGTGGACGACATGAGGGTTCTCCGTCAGGCTGTAACTCCACGCTTGTGTCAGCCTTCGCAGCTGGCTGTCCCCTGTGCCGTCACCATTTCAAAGCCGTTCCTCTGGAAACAAAGCCTAAAACGCAGAACAAACCCCGTGGGGATTTTCTCAAGCAGTTGGGAACGGTCTGTCTCACCCCCGTTTCTATTCTTCTAGATCGGCTCTTCTACATCTACACCTCAGGAACAACGGGAATGCCCAAAGCCGCCATCGTGGTGCACAGCAGGTGAGGACCCGCGGAGGTACTTCCCTTTTGAGGCGCGTTTCGCTTCACAAAACCCCGAGCTTTACTCGCCTCACTTGCTTAGCTTGTGCTGCGTTCTTACAGGTATTACCGTATCGCTGCCTTTGGTTACTACGCCTACAAAATGCACCCGCAGGACGTCCTCTACAACTGCCTCCCCCTTTACCATTCCGCAGGTGAGCATCCTCCTCCTCGGAGGCAGAGGTGAGGCCTTGGCCTCCCCCGTGCCTGCTCCTTCGTCCGTCCTTGTGAGTGAGCAGCCCCAGGATGGTCGGAACTATTCCCACGATCCTTATTTTCCAGGTAACATCATGGGAGTTGGGCAATGTCTAATCCACGGCCTCACCGTGGTGATCAGGAAGAAGTTCTCCGCCAGTCGCTTCTGGGACGACTGCGTGAAATACAGATGCACGGTGAGGGCTCTTTGCCGCTCCGCTCGAGCGTGCCGGCTTCACTGTTTGATTATTGATCTCCAGATAATTCCCCATCCCTCGTGGCATATCGACGTGCCTGCGCCACGGCATCTTCAAATTGCCGGTGCCACGTTAGGCGTGCAGGACTTCAGGAAAGGTCTTTCATCCATTTTCTCCTGTTTCCTTTTTGTCCGGTTGTCAAGACCAGCTTGAAAACACGAGTTTGCGTCCCTTGCTGTTGTGGGAAAGCTCTGCCAGAATTCATCTGCGTTAGGAATCTCTGCAGAGGAATTCTTTTGGCAGTTCATAGCCAACAAGCAGCTATTTGTGTTTGTGTCATCATTACCTTCTAATTTAAGCAGCTTTCTCCTCCCTGGTGTTTATCTTGCCCTTCCTCCCCCCGGCAGTATTCAGAGCTGGTAATTGGATCTCCACTCTGACTGTGATTTGTTTGGTCAAGTTGTTAGTTTATGATTGACCCCAAATCTTCCCAGAGGTCTTTTAGTCACCTATTAAAGCACAAGGGATTTTTCTTTACAGCTGTATCTTTATTCACACTGAGATATCCCTCCTGTGCTCTTTCCTGGTGGGTTCCAGGGGGCGCTGGTTTCCCTTTGCCTATTTTTTTTTTTTTTTTTGTGGCAAGAAATCCCAACTTGAACTTGCAAAACCTCACGGTTTATTAAAATGCCTGACGCGTCTGGTTCCACGAGGTACGCTGATACCAGTGGCCTCGTGGTCAGCTTTTTCCGGGGCGTTGTAAGCGTTGCCTGAAGCCTGAGCGCTATGTTTTTGTGTTTACTGCTTCAGATTATTCAGTATATCGGGGAAATCTGCAGGTATCTTCTGAATCAGCCGGTCCGAGAGTCAGAAACCCAACACTGCGTGCGGCTGGCGGTGGGCAATGGTTTGAGACCCACCATATGGGAGGACTTCACAAAGCGCTTCCGAATTAAGCAGATCGGAGAGTTCTACGGAGCCACGGAGTGCAACTGCAGCATTGCCAACCTGGATGGGAAGGTGAGGAGGAGGAGGAAGAGGGTACCGCGAGGGCTGGGACGGGGCACAGAAGGGAGACAAACCTCTGCTGGCTTCCCTGGCTCCTCCTCGTCCTCTTGCAGGGAGCTAAATTGGTAATTAGGGGTGGCATGCGCGGGAACCTGGGGAAAATCTTACATTTGGGTGTTTGTTTGTTTGTTTTCTTCCTGTCTTTCGGAAGGTCGGCGCCTGTGGTTTCAACAGTCGGATTTTGCCCAATGTTTATCCCATTCGTTTGGTGAAGGTGAACGAGGACACGATGGAGCTGATCCGGGATTCCCGTGGGCTGTGTATCCCCTGTCGCCCAGGTGAGCATTAACCGAAACCAATCCCTCGCAGCTTTTTGTTCTTAAAAAAAAATATATATTATAAGCTCTGGCTGGTTTAAGGGGTTTCTAGTGTTGCGTACGGGTTTTCACCTCCAGTTCTTTCCTCCGAAAACAGATCAGTTCAGCAATCAAACATCTTTTGGTGTTGTGCAAAGTTTAGTTTGTCTTGAAATGTCGGTGTCATCTTGCCTCGATGCCGTTCCCTGCAGGAGAGCCGGGGTTGCTGGTCGGTCAGATAAACCAGCAGGATCCCCTGCGTCGGTTCGACGGCTACGTCAGCGAGAGCGCCACCAACAAGAAGATCGCTTACAACGTGCTTCAGAAAGGGGACCAGGCCTACCTTTCAGGTACGTTCCTCGTGCAGAGGGTGGTCTCCAGAGACCCAAATCTGGGATTTTTAAGAGGAATCGATGATCTCAAAGGTCTTTTCCAACCTAAATGATTCTGTGATGAACAGATGCGTTAGCGTTTTGAAGTTGCCGGCCGTTGAGCTGCTCTGGATTTAATAAAAAAATAGCATTTTAGAGAGAGAGAGGCTTTTTTCCCCTGTCCTGTAACGAGGAGGAGTGGTTGCACGGGGGTGGGAACTCACCAAGGTGTTTCTGCGCTTTCCTGGGAAGAAAACGGCACAACCCCGAGCAGAGGTTGGCGAGGCATCCCTGCGCTAACGACCGTGAGTCCCGAGGTGGTTTTTGGTGTCTTTCCCCCTCCCAGGAGATGTGTTGGTGATGGACGAACTCGGTTACATGTACTTCAAAGATCGCAGCGGCGACACCTTCCGCTGGCGAGGAGAGAACGTCTCGACCACGGAGGTGGAAGGAGCATTGAGTCACATCCTCAACCAGACGGATGTTGCAGTGTACGGAGTGGAAGTACCAGGTAAAAGGTTGAGTTGGAGCTCTTGGGACTTAGGGAGAAAGGAAAAAATAGTAGGCAAAAGTACCAGATGTGTATCAGAACAGGCAGAAATTGGCTGCCTCTATTGTAACCAGGCACCCGAAAATGCAAAGAGATAATAGAGTCAAACAGTGGAGTTTGACGCATTTATTCTGAGCAGTAGAAGTAATCGGAGGTCCAGTGGCGCGATCTTTATTTTTGTCTTAAAAAGGAAGGGTTTTATGACGTCAGCTTTGTGAAAAGACTGTTCCATGGGTGTGCAGACCCGTAAATCTTCGAGTTGTGCAGGGACAGGGGGGTTGAGGAGGACACAGGGATGGAACTGAGCCTGTGCTGGGATGCGCTGGCTGGGAAGGTGCCTGTGGTGGCACTTTGCCCTGAGTTTTTACCACAGCGAATGTGAGAGAAACCTGGGGGGGGGAAAGAAAAAGAAGAAAAAAAAAAAAAAAAAGAGAACTGGGTTAGCTTTCAGGGGTGGCCTCCACTAGGTGGGTGAGGGGACGTGGTGGCAACCGACCTCTGGTATGAAACTGGGTTTTCCTCATCACGTTTGCGCTTCACCTTGAAGAAACACCTGCGCTTGGGCGCTCCCCACCCTGAGCTGTGCTCCTCTCTTCCAGGGGTGGAAGGCAAAGCCGGGATGGCGGCCATCGCCGATCCCAAAGCTAAAGTCAACCCCAACGTCCTGTACCAGGAGCTGCAGAAGGTGTTGCCTCCCTACGCCCGGCCTGTTTTCCTCCGCCTCCTGCCCCAGGTGGACACCACAGGTACCGGCTGGGCGGCCCCCCCCCCCCCCCGCCCGGCCGCCGGAGCTCGGAAGCATCTCCCCCTGCTTCAGGGCGGGAAAAAAAACCATCCCAGCTTTGAGCACAGCGGGCGCGGAAGCACCGCTAGTCAAAACGATGATTGTTGTTAGATCTTAAGAAATCGTCTCGTTCCAGGCCCTTCTAGAAAAGATGGAGGATTCACCCTCCTATATATCACTCGTATACTCTCCGTTGCCTTTCCCGGGGTTTTATTCCTTCCAGTGCGACTAATGGCTCAGTCAGCTGCTGTTTGGCTGCTGCGGTTTCTGGTTTTGATTTCCCGGGAATTTTACCATGTCCTTTTTACCAGCCCCTGCGTGAGGAGAAGTAAGAATTGCGCAAGGTTGATGAGAGAAATCTGGTAATGATCAGGCATGTTAACGAGCTTCCAGTTGCTAAAATAGAAACGAAGCACCGCCCGTGACATTTCCTCCTCGCTCTGATGCTTAAGCAGGCTTTCTGATGCCAAATATTTTTAATTTTTATTTTTTCTCCTTTTTTTGAAGGTACATTTAAGATTCAGAAAACCCGCTTACAGAGGGAAGGATTCGATACAACCTCGGATCGCTTGTATTTTCTGGATCTAAAGTTGGGAAAATACGTTCCTCTGGATGAATGCCTTTACGAAAGGATTTGTTCTGGAAAAGCCGCTTTATGAGCTGGTCTGATTTGGCCTTTTTTTTTTTTTTTTTTTTCTGAGGAAAAAACGATGACTAATCGGAGGGCCGGGCTGCTGGGGGGAAGCCACGGATCCCTGCACCCTCCTTACGCAGGGAAGCGCCTGGCGCCGGCCTCTCCCTCCCCTAAAGCTCATTAACCTGCTGACGTCCCGTTAACCTGCCCCTACGCCCATAGAGAGTATTTTTGTAACCGCTACCCGCCACGGCCATATTTATTTACAGAGATACCTGTGCCCTGTGGGGGGGCTTCTCTCTGCTCCACTCTCCCAACTTCACTTAACCAATTTAGACTGGTTTTAACCTCATTTGGTGTTAGGTCACATTTTAATTACCCTTAGGCCTGGGGCTGTGAGGATATTAAAAACAAACAAACAAGCAAAAGGCTTTGATGGGTGCTGTGGTGGAGGGGAGCAGCCTTTGGGCTTTACCCTCCCTGCAGGCTGGTGCCTGAGGTGTGACAGAGCCCGGCTGAGGGGGAGGTTTGTGCTCGGATGGTGGAAAATGCGAATAACTGGGTAAAATGACTTTTATTGTCTCAGCCCGCCTCTGCCTCCCTTCTTCTGCTGGGGCCTAGGCCGCGGGGAAGGCCTAGGCCGCGGGGAAGGCCTAGGCCGCGGGGAAGGCCTAGGCCGCGGGGAAGGCCTAGGCCGCGGGGAAGGCCTAGGCCGCGGGGAAGGCCTAGGCCGCGGGGAAGGCCTAGGCCGCGGGGAAGGCCTAGGCCGCGGGGAAGGCCTAGGCCGCGGGGAAGGCCTAGGCCGCGGGGAAGGCCTAGGCCGCGGGGAAGGCCTAGGCCGCGGGGAAGGCCTAGGCCGCGGGGAAGGCCTAGGCCGCGGGGAAGGCCTAGGCCGCGGGGAAGGCCTAGGCCGCGGGGAAGGCCTAGGCCGCGGGGAAGGCCTAGGCCGCGGGGAAGGCCTAGGCCGCGGGGAAGGCCTAGGCCGCGGGGAAGGCCTAGGCCGCGGGGAAGGCCTAGGCCGCGGGGAAGGCCTAGGCCGCGGGGAAGGCCTAGGCCGCGGGGAAGGCCTAGGCCGCGGGGAAGGCCTAGGCCGCGGGGAAGGCCTAGGCCGCGGGGAAGGCCTAGGCCGCGGGGAAGGCCTAGGCCGCGGGGAAGGCCTAGGCCGCGGGGAAGGCCTAGGCCGCGGGGAAGGCCTAGGCCGCGGGGAAGGCCTAGGCCGCGGGGAAGGCCTAGGCCGCGGGGAAGGCCTAGGCCGCGGGGAAGGCCTAGGCCGCGGGGAAGGCCCCCACCCCGGTTCTATCTCCCCTTCTCTCTCTCCCCCGTAGGCTTTCCCGGGCGAGGACGTGCCCGTCTTCGACCTGCTGGTGCTAGGGGTTGGGCCGGACGGACATACCTGCTCCCTCTTCCCCGACCACCCCCTGCTCCAGGTGAGCTCAGCCGCCGGCGTCCGGCTCCCGCTGCTGTCCCCGGGGATGTCGTTACCCCGAGGTTGTCATCAGTGACTCGCCAACGGGGTCCGTGTGGCAGTTGCCAATCTGGGGGCGGTGGTGGTTAAAAAATAAAGAGGAGGGGGGAAAAGAAAGCTGTTGGAGTTGGCTTATCCGCCCTGCTTGTTTCTTTTAAATTTCTTCCAATTTGGGGAGTTTGGAGGGAAGCAAAAAAGGCGACCATGACTTGGGTGGGGATGTGGAAGGGCTGAGGACCCTCGGCTGCCCTCAGCACCTGCTGCTCACCCTGTTTATGGTCAGAGTCCCTGCTTTGGGGTTTGGGGTTTTTTTTCCTGTTTTCATGGGGTTTTTTTCACTCTAATAGGAGAAAGAGAAAATAGTTGCTGCTATTACTGACTCTCCAAAGCCACCGCCGGAGCGGATAACGTTAACCCTGCCTGTGCTGAATGCTGCACGGATGGTTGTGTTTGTGGCTACGGGGGAAGGCAAAGCTTCTGTTTTAAAGGTTTGGACCCAAATTGTTCATATTCTTAGTGAAAAATCTAAGGCGTTCTGGGGGGAACGAGTAATTGAGAGGCTTCAGTCAACCACGGAAGTGTTTCAGGTGTGGTTTGCAGTTCCCTTTCACCGACCGCTTGGCTGAGGCACCGCTCCCTCTCTCCTAACAGCGCATTTTGGAAGGCGATGAGGAAAATCCCCTTCCCGCTGCCCGTGTCCGGCCTCGCTCCGGGCAGCTGCGCTGGTTCCTGGACGAGTCGGCAGCCAAGGACCTGACCATCCCCCTGGAGAAACATTCCGTCTTGTAGTGCCAGTCTCGGGCAACGGCAGCCATGGCACCGGCTGCGTGACATTCCAGGTGAAGAACGCCACGTTTGATCGTGGCGCTCGGTTGCAGCACAAAACGCACTTTTAAATTCCTTTTCCTTGAATGAACGGTGCTTTGCTGAGCACAAATTTCCACGTAATAATAATCCCTCTCCTTCGGTGGGGACCGGGTGCCGGGCTGGAATCGTGCACGGCGACGGCGTCACACGGTTCGTTTCGGGTGCTGTGACGTGAAACGGGTACGCGGTATTAAATGCATTGCAGCTCTTCTGCTCCTGGTTCTTTTTCCACCGGGCTGCGCTCTTCCATAAACGAGGGACTCGAGGAGCAGGCGCGGGGTCTGGGCTGTCGGCGGTGCGAGGATGGACGGACTCTTTTCTGGGGCAGCTCTGGCCGTAGGGTAACACTTGGTTTCCCTCACTGGTTTGTTGGATTTGTCTGTGTTAACCCTGGCTTTGACTCTGCTCTAGTTCTTGCCTAAAACTCTGTCTCGTCGGCTCCTTCCTACCTGTTTTTTCACGCGCCCGCGTGCCTGGCGGTGAGGTTTGAGCTTTTGGTAGCGGAGAACTCTCTGAGATCGCACGGCATTTGTTGGCGCGGCAGGAAAGGAACGGTGTTCCTGTGCTGGTGGATGAAGAAGCTGAGTCAGAAAAGGCAGATCCTGTAGGAAACACAGCGCTTCTGTGCAGGGGTTGGGAAGAAAAAAAAAAAAAAAAAGAATTCAGGTTTTTGGGATGAATGCGGATATTTATAGATACATTAGAAAGCATCTGGACAGGACGTGGAGCAGCGCGGGGCGCAGCCGTCCCTCTTGATGGTGTCTTTCAGAGCTGATGACTACTGGAGTACAAGCGATTCCGTTGTCGTCAGCGAAGTACCCCGGGGTCTGGTTTGTCCGTAGTCGTCTCCGCGTCCCTTCCTGGGGGCAGCTGCGAACAGGGCTGGTTAGTGGCTGCTCTCGGTATCTCTGAAATCGGTTTTGAGGAGGTGGAGACAGAAAACGTCAGGATTTGTGAGTTAAATACAAAGGTGACTAAAGTCACATTTGGATCTGCCAGAGAGCTGAGCTCCGCGTCTCAGGAACGTGAAGCAAACCAGCAAAGCACGCGGACAAGCCTTTGAAACTAAACTCACACCAAGTTAAAATAACATTTAAATAACACTATTTCCTGTTCTTGGACCCGACAAACAACACAGGTTTTAATGAGATGGTTTTGCAAACGTGAGTCCAAAAACGTATGGTGGTAAATTTTCCCGTGTCCGATCCGTGGTGCCGTGTCTGTCAAAAGCCGCTTCTCTTGTGCAGTGGCGCCGTGTTACCTCTCAGGGATTCCAGAACCTTTTTCCATCTGGTTTTAGGGCTGTTCCTAAACCATCCCCCATTTATTTCCTTGTATTAAAAGCATTTAGGCTTTTTGACCAGTCCGGGCAGTGATGCAAGTGCTGGGTGTTTCTGCTCAGAGTTTCCTGTTTCTACATGTCCCGTGGGCTCTGAAGGGTGTCAAAAACCGCCCGTTGCGTAATGGTAAAAATGGCAGATCGGGGAAGCGGGAGCAGGTGCGGCGTACAGCAGCGAGCGGTGTTGTTTCCTCCACGCGCTCGCAAATGTGGAAATAACTCAGAAAGATCCCCTTGCTGTGTCCTGCTGGGTCGCTCCTGCGTTGTTGCCCGGTTCCTCGCCCCCTGCGTTCCCTCGTGGGGTACCTTCTGCGGGTGGTAGCTGAGAGGGAGTCGAGAAGGGCAGAGCGTGGAGTACCGAGAGCAAATTTGGGATAAATCTGGTTGTGCCTTTCCTAACATTGTGTAAATTTACACCCTGAACCTCTTTAGCGTCCTAAATTTAAATTCCAGCGCGTGCGTTTTTTGTCTTGAAGAGTTCTGTGTTAATTAATGGTGAGCAGCGATTATTTCTAGGGTGGAAATAGCACGTGTGGGCGAGTGAAGAGACGGCTTGCGCTGTCCCGCTGCAAAAGCAGGACCCTCCGAGCTGGGATGCGGCTGAGCACGAATTTGCCCAGTCTCAAAAATAAACCAGAAACCAAATTGGTGCCGGTTTAGCACGTGAAACTTTGGGTGAAACTGGTGGGAAGCGGCAGAGGTGCTGCTGCCCCTCTAAAGCGTATTTTGTGAGCTGGGGGGGAGGGGGGAGCTCGATATGAAACTTTATTTGAATATTTCTGAGCCGATGATCTGGAGGGGCAGCGAGACGGAGAAGCGCTGCCGGATGGCAAAGCTGGAAGCCGCCGGCATGTGGCACGTCCCCTCTGCGCCTCAGAGCCCAGCCGGCAGCGAGCGCGCTGAGGCCGAAGATGGGAGGAGGGTGTTCGAGCCCTCTGAACGGGAGGCAGCGCAGGTGCCTGAGAGGTGAGAAATGACTTTTACCGTCTCTCTTGCTTTTGTTTTTTAGACGGGGGGGAAGAATAGAAATCCTGTTCGTGGTGAGCGGTGGCCCTTGGTGGTTTGGGGCAGCCCTCCTTCCGCACCGCAAGGCTGCCGGCGTTGGCTTCTTGCTGGCTGCGCTCGCTTTTGGGCTTTGTGAGACGTGAAATCTAATTTAGTGGTTGGTTTTAAGGCGTTAATTGGTCAAAATAAAAAAGGCGGAGTGTGCGTAATGAGTCTCCAAGCCCTCTTCTCTGCTACCTTCCTCTTTGGATGGCTCTCGGAGGAGGGATGGGAAGTGCCTCGTCCTTGACTGTAAGCTCGCTGCCCTCCCTGCCACCTCCTCTGCCTTGAGCAGCGCGTTTCTCCGTGCTGGAAGACGCCTCTGGAGCTTCACACTGTGGCTTTATTGTCCGATTCCTTCGAGCTTACGGGGTGTGACATTTCAATAACTCCACTGTCGATGAATTCACTCCCTTGTTTCCATCTTTTCAACTGGCGGAAGACGCATTTGGCGCATGAGTCTCGTTTAATTTTGATTAGCGTCAGACCCTCTTGACATTTCAGATCCTTTTTGACTGGGCGCCGTCCCGTGCTAGGCTGGCCACGTTCCCGGGGTGATAAAAGCGCCCGCCGTTCGGGAGCGGGGTCCAGCGACAAGCGTAAGAAATAAAGAGCCGTCGCTCTTCATTTCTGGAGGTGCGGAGAGGTTGCTTCATGCCTCGGCGCTCGGCTTCCGCTGCCGTTCTTAGAGGAGAGGAAAAAACGCTAATTAAAACCAGCCAGCGGCCTCCACTGGGAGGAGGGCACCCACCGAACCTGTCTCTGTCCTTGCTCTGCCCGCAGGTCGCGCGGACGCCACCGTGAAGAACTTCGTGCCCCATTACCGGAGGCAGCTGGCGACTGCCCTGCTGAGACGGGTCTCGGGGGAGCTGGACCCCGAGGGAAAGCGGCCCCGCAGCTCCTGCCGAGTGAGGTAAGAGCCCAGCGTGACCTCCCCGAGCAACGCTCGTCTGCTGAGGTCGATCTTGTCCCGGAGGCGTCCTGCCTCCCGTGAACAGGGAGATGGGGCTGCTCTTCCCTCTCTCGCTGCGGCGTCACCGTGTAACGGGACATCACGCGGAACAGTGACCTGTTAATAAGGAAAACTGTACCTGCTGTGGCTTAGAAGTAAATATTTAAGAGCGTGTTTTAAAGGAGATGAGAAAGTGGGATCGACGGCTGAGGATCTAGCTCACAAATCCATGCCGAAGACCATCAAAGCCGTTGCAGCGTCACCGCGGTTTAGCAGGGAGAGCGACGACGTGCTTTTTTTTAGGCTCCCTTTTTGCTTTTCGTCACCGCTAGATGTCCGTGTCCAACTTATTTCTACAATGCTCATAGCGAACGGTCTCGGCCGGGCGCAGGCCGGGCGATGGGTCTGTCTCCCCGCGGCGCTGATGCTTTGCATCTTGGCTGAAGTTTTCCACCTCTTCTCTCCTGTGTCCGCAGCTCCGGGGGCTGCCCGACGCCGCTCTGCACGAGGGATCGCTCTCCCAGTACGACGGCGATTCCTGCAGCTGGCAGGAGAATTCCTTCCTTCTGCTCGGGGATTTTACCCTGCAGTGATTTGAAAGCGAAGAGGTATGTGTTTTCCTGCTCCAGAGGCCGTAAAATCGAGGATTTTCTGTGGTCAGACCTCAGGAAAACCAAATCCATGCGGGCAGAGAGACAAAGGTGGGCACGGGGCTGTGCAGATACCGCTCCTAGCACGCTCGTGTATAAGCCTGCCGCTTCCCACCCGTGCGGCTGCGCAGCGATTCTCCTCGCACGGAGAATCCTTCCACAAATATATCCCGTTTCCTTAAAACCTGCCCTGCTTCACTGCGTCGCGTTGGCTTCTTTTGTTGTTTTAATTGTTGCTACTCGGCTGCGTGAAAGAATTACCCAATTGCGCAGCCGGCGTAAGCGAAGCCGCAAGAAACGAACCGGCTCGCTGTCGCCAGCCGCTCTGCGATCGCTCTAAACAATTAATTACCGTCCACAAACCCTCGCTGAAGTCTCATTCTTTGGTTTCTTCTCCAGGCCCTGAGGAAAGGCTGCGAGCCCACAGGCTCCACCGTGCTCTCTGGCTACCGGCTGCTGTCTTCCCCGGGCGAATATGCCGAATCGCTCGGCGATCTGTGCCGAGGGCTCGCAGGTAATTCCGTGCTGCTTCGATGGTTAACAAACAGGGGATGGCTGAGGTATGAGCAGAGCGTGGCTCAGCGCCTCGGAGCGTGACGGAGGAGGATGAGGTGCGCGCACGAGGCGGGTCCTTGTACCAAAAGACGCGTAGGAAACTTCCTTTGGCATAACGCTGGGAGCTAAACTTCTGGCGTCACCCGGACTTGGCGCTTCGGAGCTCTCATGCAGCTAAATCTGTTGTTTTCCTTGTTTCTCCGCATCCTCTGGCCTCTCCCCCGGCAGACAGCTGTGCTCGGGGCTGCCGGCGGCCTCGCGGCTTTTCTTGGCCATCTGGAAAGCTCAAACTTTAAACCCGAGTGGCACGAAACCAGAAGCAGCTGCGGAGAAACTCTGCCAGTGACTGAAATTCATTTCAAGCGGTTTTCTTCTGTTCAGC